CGGTGGTCCTAGATTCTACTGATAATTGATGAAAGTGGAAGGGGTTCTTTTATGCTGGAAGCCGTTCTGGTACGAAGGATGTGACGAGGACGAAGGGTAGCTTTGGGGATAAAGGAATTTGTTTAGGAATTGAAATGCCCTTAAAGTTTGACTTATTTACCAAAAAGCCTAGAAGCAGATAAAAGCATCCTCAACCTAGCTTCCAACTTTTGGCTTAAAACTACTTAAATTAAGTAGAATTTTTCATTTGCAAACACTACTTTTGACTTTTTAAAAGCCAAAAGTCCAAAAGTGCTTAAAATAAGCAATAGCAAACACACCCTAAAAAAGTGATTTTATTAATTTGAATTTGGATAAAGGGGTTAATAGTAAGTGTTGATAATGCACTTATTTTAAAAAACTTTACTAATTTTTACTTTTGCATAAACACTTTTTTCTTTTCAAAAAAAAATGTTTATACCAAAGTAAAAATTGGTAGTGTTTTATAAAATAAATGCATTTTATGTAATAAAAAAGTAAAAAGTAGTTTAAAACATTATCATCTGTTTTCATTTTTTATATGATAAATTTAAATAGAAATTGTCATTTGATTTCAGTTTTTTAAGTCAAAAGATGAAAAACACTTTTTAAAAAAAAAATTGCAAACACTCCCTTAGTATCTGAGGTCAGACTAAAATAATTTTACAAGTTTAATAAAATTATTTAACCCTATCCATATCCAACACATTATTATCCTAATTCCTAAATAATAGGGAATATACTCTACGCCTCTACTCACTAAAGTTGTCATGTTTTATAAATACACACAAAACATACCAATTTTAGTGAGACACTTTAAAAAGAATTTTCTAACATATCAGACACTTTAAAACATACGTGGTTAGTGGACAAATCGGCAGGCTCAAGTGGGGTTAGGCAACGGAGGAGGGCTGATCAGGAAGATGAAGATACTGGGGAAGATGGAGCGCGAGAATCTACGGCAGGCTCTAATAACAGTGTCACCAGAAAAGAAGGTAAGGAAAAAGATGCAGATGTACCAGCGGACCAGAAGCGCAGGATGATCTGGGATGGGCAGGCATCGGAGGACCCAGCTGGCGAGAATATGGCCATTGATAAAGAAAAAAACGGGGAGGCGGCGGGTCCGGGCTTCGAGACCCGTCGGTTCTGCGGATGATTTTTGTGTTGAAGATGACAGGTTTTGGTTTTTATTTTATTGTTGTTTTGCATTTTAATTTCCACGTTGAGATTGTTATTTTGTACTTTTATCTCTATTTTGCTGATTATTGTAAGACTTTTGCATTAGGATTGGGTAATGAGAGTTCTGCGGTGACCGTCTTTGGCTCATTTATGCCCAATTTAGAATTAACGAGTTATATTGTTTTGTCAAAGGTGATTAACTCTGAGTCTGGTTCAAGGGCGGATGGTTACATGTGGGTCTTTTGTTATTTTAACCCCTATCTGAATGTTGTGTTATCAATATAAGCCCCCTTCTTCCAAAAAACATATCAGACTCTTTATGATAAAAAAAAACATATCAGACTCTTCAGCATTTTATAGGTTAAATATTGTTGAGGTTTATTCCTTCAACTTCAAAAGCCGACACTTTCTCTTGGGTTTCGTGTGGAATAGTTTGATATATAGGTTATGAACAGTGAGTGACCCACAAGCAAATAATGGACAAGCAGGTAATGAGTCTATTAGATGGGATGCATCTTATTAATTGATAATAAGGTATATTAGGATGTATTCTTTTAGATTGTTTTCAGTCCCAGACCAAACCAGACCAGATCAGACCGGATCACACCCGACTTTCATATTATAAAATACACATAGTCCAGACATTTACCAGACCAACAAATTTCAGTCCAAAAGAAAACATCCTCACATCACACACTATTGTCAGCCCGCTAGGCCGATCGTCTATCTGAGCTGGAAAGAGGGGGAATAATTGATATCATTAGAGAGTACAAGTTGGCAATCATTTACAATGAAATAAATGATACTATTTATACTACCAAGGGGTATGTGATGTTGGTGATGTGGAGGTTTGTGAGTGGGTAGCTTCCCAACCATCAAATCCACTTCATTAAATGTGTTTCCCGCCAATATCATGTTTTCTCGTCAATAGGTCTGACGAGCATCCCCAAGATCTACTGATTCTGGATCCAATCAGACACAAAGGCAGGCCCGCCGTTCGGCGTGTGTTGAGTATTTTTCCCGAGGCTCTTAGATCGTTGCTTGGACTCACTTAGGCACTGGTGGCCGAGTCGAGCGTCTCCAACGAAATGATGGTCGTCGGATGGGTTCTTGCTGGGTCATTCCCCAGTTGAGCATTGGTGGTCTATTTGCTAAGGGTTATTGGTCCGTTCCTATATTGGGCCAATTAACCTAACACAAGTCCCCCACTTCTGGTGTTCCAGGCGTGCGCGGGACATAAAAAGATATGTGTGTCTACTCTGAGCCAAGCTTTTACGACGCTCGTGATGTGACTATTCATTAGGTGGTTCCCGAAATCCCAGATGACGGTTACGTGGCCGGTTCAACTTCCAAAGCAAAAGTAATCATTATACATCTATTGAGCTCTGCGCGACACGTGTCTTGGGGGACTGGGGTACGCTCCTCGTCACGTGTCGTGTAATCACGGGTCTATTAGGTGGTGGAGACCCCCTATAAATACCAGTTCTGTCGAATGGTTTAGGATTTTCAAATTTTTGTCCAGCTGCTCTCAAGTGCCCACTGCAACTTTGCTCAAGATTTTTGGCCACCGGCCCTTCGTGCTTTTTGTGATTTAGGTAATCCTCTATTCTCTTCTTTCTTTTATTGTCCTTCGGTTTTCTATGTCGAACCCGTCGAAGGCGGTTGTGGATTCTCGCATGTCTTTCGAATCTGACTCGGATTTCCGGTCCTCGGGGGGGGGGGGGGGGGGAGTACTTCTGATAGCACCGGATCTAGTGCTTCTGCTAGGGAATAGAGCCGTCCCATCCGCATCAGAGGATGTCGCCCATCATGATGACACCTCAAGGGGAGATGCCCATGAAGATGTTGCCCAAGCAAATGTGGCCGAGCCTCAACCAGAAGATTATGATTCCGACAATGAAGCCAATTTTGTGGATGATCTGAACGTCTATGACTAGGGAAGACTCGCGATGTGCCACACCGTGATGTACCTTTGTGGAACGCCCACAGCTGCGACCAGTTCTTCTTCGAGATTGCGCATCACGAGCTTCCACTGTATCTATCGCTGCCCGTAGTTTATAGTCTGTGCAGCGCGACCCAACCCCTGAAGAGATGCCCAGGTATGGTGATGGTCCACCTGGATTTATTGAAAACCGGGTTGCAGTAGTGTTGGTGAATGAAGAACACCTTTTTTTCGTTCAACTTCCCTTCCTTGCATTTGTGTTCATCCTTCTCTTATGTCAATCACATGCTAAGTACCCATAGACGCTCCTCCTTACCTTGTGTTCAATCTCATCCAAATCCTTAACCTTGGGCAACCACTTGTCTTTTATGCCTCGAAGTGCTCGGTGCTGTGGCATGGGACGACCGTCCCTATCCACATTAGGACCTTGATTTGGTTGGAAAGGATATCAGCCTTGTTGCTAGCCGATCCTGGATGACCAACCCCAATTTAGGGAGCTGGCTTTTGAGATGTTCGTCCGGTTTATCTTATGCAAATCTCACAAAGTTCTTAACGACGCTCATCTCATGAAAGTATATGTTATAATTGTAAAGTGGGACGGGAGTACTTATAAATTTTCAACTACTTTATTAATAATTGTGCCAAAATCAAATGCCACACATAAAATGGGACGGGAGTAATACATTTTTTGTAAAGTGTTTGCAATAGCTTAAAAAGCATTTCCCGGGTTTTGACTTAAAAAGGCTAAAATTAGTGTTTTCAAGTTACAACTTCTACTTAAAAAAAACGTTTTTCGGCTTTTGTGTGAAAAATGTTTGTTACTTTTTCTATTACACAAAAAATACTTATTTTATCAAACACTACCAACTTTTACTTTTTAAAATTATTTTTTTCTCATACACCATCAACTTTTACTACTCACCGCTTTTTCCAAAATCACTTAAAAAAGTGTGTTTTTTAAGCAAAAGCATTTGCACACACTCCCTAAGATGAGTGTGTAGATGAAGATGTTGTGACCCTTAGGGATGTGACTGACATTGGCTATGTTTGGTAAATGGCTGATCAACCAATTTTCAGCTTCTTTGACCATTTTAACTGGGTTGACCGGCAAAATTGATAAAATTGTTTTGGTAATTAGATGGTGTGTTTAGCTGATTGGCCTTGAAAAGCTAACTTTCAAAACGCTGGCAGTAGCAACGTTTGGGCTTGGCTGCTTTGTGTATAATTATTTAATACCAATGTACTCCTTTATGCTTGAAACACACACTAACCACCAATAGCATGAAGCGCGTCTAAGTTCACAATATTTATATTCAACATATCAATAATGTATCAAGTGTTTTACGAGTACACGATTCAATGATTCAAATTATATTAATTCCTTAGTTCATTTTAAAAACTACAAATAAACATGATTTTTTAAATTCATATTATTCAAATTAAATTAAAATGTTTCTTGTAATTTGTTTTATGTTTCATGTAGTTGTATTTACATATTTTTAAAATATGACTAATTTATACTCTAAGTAAATTTAGGTAGTATTATTTTTATAAGAAATAGCTAAAAATAAATTAAAACATTAATGTCCTTATTTGTCTTTTATACACAAACAGCTATCATTGAAATCTAATTTACCAAACATTAAAAACAATAAGTTAATATAATCATCAATTAAAACAGCTTACGTCTATTGCCAAAGGAGGCCATTGTTGGAAAGCAAAGGAGAAAAATGTCATCCTTTGTTTTTACTTCTGGCCACATTCTCTTAGCTCCATAGGTTTACCTGGACTGGTTTGAAAATCAGTGCTCCGTGTATTTTACACCGTATATTCCGTGCGCAGAAGCAGTAGTGTGGCTCATATCCTTCTAGGAAAGTACGGCATCTTCTACCGGAAGGCCGGAGCTCATTTCCACCTAAAACTCCAAGTATCCTCATATACCCACATGGACGCCTGCATACCGATTAATTCATAGAAATAAGTGCTTTCAAGCTCATATATGCACGGTACGTCGCGCGTGGCTATTGTTATGCGTATTTAATTTACTGAATTTCTACATGTGTGCATGATTATATAATAATATCTGCAGCGCCATTGATTATGCTGTGAATCTCCATGACTTTCTCCTTTACTATTGTAGCGCTTCATGTCTATGTGTTTGAGTTCAATTATTCAAATAATTGAAGGTTAGGGTGTGCTTGAGATCTCTGATTCGAACGATGCTTATTAAGGTTTCACTATGTATGAAGGAACCATAGTGTGAATTCTTCTATACAACATCCAAGCCTTTACAACTACATTTGGTCCTTTAAACATGAGTACTCATAGTCATTCTTTACTTCCTCCTTTAGCCTAGTTATAATTTAAATGATGAAAATGAAATCTTTTTGGAGAGGTTTGAACTTTTGGGTATAATCCCCATTTTGATGAAATTGTTGTTCTTTAGTCTGCCTCTTGAGTTCCCAAAACCATTTAATCTCTTTTTCATACAGAGAGAAAATCCAACATATGGATGTCACCTATAAGCTTACACACATGTATGTATGTATGTACTATATAGTTGTTCATTGTATATGTTTGCTGTAGTATTTTATCCTGATCTCCAAGGCTCTGACCATGTTCTCGTCTTGTACTTCATTGGAGTTTTTAGTGTGCCAAGTTTTTTTATGTCACTGTAATGAATATCTTAGGCTTTTGAGACCTGAGCTAATGATGCCTTAAACTTTGGGAATGCCGACCTTTCATGTCAAGTATTTTTTTTGTTTTTCTTTCTTATCAGTGGTGCCGTGTTAGCTGCAAGTAATTCTGAAGATACTATGGCAATGACTGATGAGCCCCTCTACCCAATAGACGTGTTGATAGAGGAGTTGAAGAATGATGACATTCAACTCCGGTTGAATTCTATCCGGAAGCTATCTACTATTGCTCGTGCACTTGGGGAGGAAAGAACTCGGAAAGAGTTGATCCCATTCTTGAGTGAAAACAATGATGACGATGATGAGGTGTTGCTTGCAATGGCAGAAGAGTTGGCTGTCTTTATTCCTTACGTCGGAGGTGTTGAACATGCTAATATCTTGCTCCCACCTCTAGAGACACTTTGCTCAGTGGAGGAGACATGTGTGAGGGACAAGGCTGTTGAATCCTTGTGCAGAATTGGGACTCAAATGCGAGAGACTGACATGGTTGAGTGGTTTGTCCCTCTAGTGAAGGTTAGATAGTGCATGATATGTGCTGACTTATACTTCGTGTGACCCAAAAAAGTAGTCTCAAGAACTTGTATTGTCCGAAAATAGAGACAGGTTTTATGTGGCACCTTTAATTTTAAAGTAAAATTCTGGTGAAGCCAATTGGCAAGCAAATTTAGTCAATTACCCCAAAAAATATTGGAAACAAGTTCCACTGGTATAAATGAACATTCATAACCTGCAATAGCTTGTGCGTGATTAAGTTGACTAAAAATAACAGGTAGTACCATACTCAAGCAAGATTTTTTTTGTGTGAGGACTGAGGCAGTTGTTTTTATGCTTGAGTTGTACCTTATTACATGTGTGTGATCCGATACTCTTAATATCTTTGATTTATTGTGGATTACTTTTCAAGGTGTTTATTACTCTTTGTATCTATTCATAAACTGCATCCTGAGTCCTGACTGGAGTACTTTATTTTTTTTTTATCACTGGGAGTGCCAAAAAGCCCGCATCCTAGTCTCCTTTGATTATCTTATTCATATATATCATTTTTCACACACTCACACACATGTTAGTTGACCCCTAAATCTTTTGGGAATAGGGCTTGGATGTTGTTGAAATATGTATATGTATATTAACCAAGAGCACAAGCCACCAAAGATAGTGGGGTAAATGCTGTGCGTCCTTTACCATGATATTATTAAAGAAGTGAGATTAACAAAAGTGAGGGGGCCATGAAACCTTACCTCAATAAATATTAAAAAACATTTCTAGTCCGTGGTAACCCCTAAAGGTCTAGAGTGTGAGCACCTAAGACCAGAGGAGGTAAATTATTGGCAGCAAAGTAGAATATACGTTGGTTTAAAATGTCCGTACTTTTAGCTAACAAATGAGGTACAAGGTTTGCCTCTCTGAAGCAGTGTCGGAAAGTCAAGGAGTGTGTGTGTTTTGGATAGATCGTTTATCTGTTGCATCTGAACCTGAAGTGCCCTTTTTGTATGAAATCTGATTCAACCTCAAAACAAGTGTGCCCTGCCACCGCCGTCCACTTTACAGCCGTAACAATTGCTTGTAGCTCAGCCTCCGGATCCAATACGGCAGCGAGTTCGAAAGATAGAGTGAAGATTCTCCCTGTTGAAGAATTGCGCCTCCTGCTGATTTGCTAGGTGAGTAGGCTGCATCGATCTTAAGCTTGAGGTCCTGTTCAGGATTTTCCCATTTCACACTAATTTGCTTTTGCCTTGATTTAGGAAACACCTGGGGAATGAATCCTTCTTGTATGAGAAGCTCCGCTGGTTTAGTTCTTTTTGTTAGGGTACGCCCAGAGGATCAGTGAGTTAGGTATTGACAAATTTGATAATCATAGCATCAGTAGAAAAAGGTTTTGTGTGACTGTTCCAATTGAAAGAAGCGTATGTCTTCCATAAATGCCAGATTATGATTCCAGGGAGAAAAGATGAGATGGTTTCAAAGATGCTGAGGGGTAAAATGGACAGCTAGAGCCTAGAAGGCAGGTAGTAAATCTGAAATCTGGTGAGATTGTTGTGAAAGAGTTTCCACATGGGTAGCATGATTAGTGGAGCCTGTTTTGGGTGCTAAATGTGAGTGTCTGAGAATTTAGCTGATTTAGACTCTAATTTCCTGATGTGCAGAAGATAGAGTGAAGGTGTTGTGAAGCAGAAGAACTGCTCTCCCTGCTCTCTATCAGTAGGCACCCTCGGGATTGGGTTTCCATATCATCACACCCGAAGGATGTCTCTCTATAAGTGCAATTCTTGTATAGTTGTATTGTGAGCCTTGCATATTCCCTTCCTGATTACAGAGTACTATTTTGGTCATCATCATCATCATCATCATCAATACCCCAGTGCCGCAAAGGCTCCCACCTATGGTGGGGTAAGAGGGGGTCGGATGTACGCAGTCTTACCCCTATACTAAAGCATAGAGAGACTGTTTCCGGATGACCCAAAGTGAAATTCGCGTCGAAATTGCATGGACTGACCCCTATGCAGACAGTTTATGGAGCCATTTTGCTTTATTTCATCATATTCCTAAGCCAAAAAATTCCTTGGGTATCTGGCATTTATGAACTTAGACCTTAGGATTTTATGTTCACTCCGTTACACCAGATTTTGTGGGAGAAGGCTTGTTCAATGCTGGATATAGATATGATCCCTAATACTCCTTCCTCTTGAGGGAAGCAAATGCTTTTCCAGCTATTCCAATGTTGCTTACCCCTTCTCTGGTGAGCTCCCCCAGAAAAAAGAAGCCATTTATCTTTCCAATATGCTAATCACTCTCTTAGGCAGGTTGCTAGTGAGTGTAGGGGTATAGAAGCCAACACATGCTTGATCAAGATCAGCCCACCCTGTAAGAGTGGTTTCTGCCTCCAATTGGTGAGTTGTTGGTCAAAAGATCTAATAAAATCCAGGCAATATTTGAACCGGATGGTCCCTTTGTGTAGCACCACCCTTAAGTATTTGATAGGCAATAATGTGCTCTTCAGCTCCAAAATTGATTCAATTTGTATAACCCTAGCAGAGTTCAACTCATTGCCTATTATCAGATTAGTCTTAGCATAGTTCACCAATTGTCCTGAAGCTGTTTGGTATGAGTTTAGGAATTGTTTAAAATTTAGCAGGGTCCTTGCATTGCCATTCAGGAACAGGAGGAGATCGTCAGCATAACCAAGATGAGTGATTATAGGATGCCCCTACCCACGGAGTACAGTGAGATTTTACCTTTGCCAGTCAGTGTCTTTAGACCCCTGGAGAAGGCTTCTGAGGCTAAAATGAAGAGGTAGGGTGATAGGAGATCCTCTGTTTGACACCTCTTTGGGGTTTGAAGAAGCCATGAGGCTCTTCTTTGACTAGAACAGAAAAGGTAGTAGCTTTTAGATGTTGCATGATAATATACACAATCTGAGGGGAGAAACCAAATTAAAGGAGAATAGCTTGCAGAAAAGTCCTTGATAGTCTATCAAATGCTTTGACCATGTCCAGTTTGATAGATATGTTGGTTCCTCTTACCTTTTTGTCAATGACATGTAACATCTTTTGTGCTCACAGAATGTGTCCCCCTATGTCCCTGCTACTCATAAATTTGACTTGTTTGCTAGAAATCAGTCTAGGTAGGAGACTTAGGAGAGTTCATGAATGTGGATAGACTTATCAGCCTGAAATCAGAGAAAATTGTGGCCTATCTATTTTTGGAATGAGCACCAAAAGAGAACTAGACGTAGCCTTGGGAATGTGGTTTCCCTGAAAGAAGTCTCGTATTGCCAAAATGACATCCTTGCCCAAAATATCCCTGCATTTCCTGAAAAATTTACCATTGAAACCATCCGGACCACTTGCACTGTTTTTATTTAGTTGCCATTCAACTTGTTTATGTGAATGTAGTAACATAGTACAAAATGTAGTAGTGTGGAGTACCTGGCTATTGCTCTTTCATACATTTATGTCTCCCGTTTTTTACTTTATATTTTAATGATAAATTTCAACCTGATATTTATATTCTTTGATGATTCATGTGTTTTATTTGCTTCATTTAGAGGCTGGCAGCTGGTGAATGGTTTACTGCTAGAGTGTCTGCATGCGGACTATTTCACATTGCTTATGCAAGTTCCACTGAGATGTTAAAGACAGAGTTAAGGTCACTTTACAGTCAGCTATGCCAGGACGATATGCCTATGGTCAGAAGGTCTGCTGCAACTAACCTCACAAAGTTTGCCGTTGCTGTTGAACCTTCTCCCCTCAAGACTGACATCTTGTCAATATTTAATAATCTTACTCAAGATGGTAATTAATTATAACCCTTAAGTTGGTTACAGTGATATCATGTTAGTAATGCATAATCTTATGCAGTTAGATATTAATTAATTCAAAGAGTTTGAGTTGCTTTTCGGGAGTGGATAAATTGATGGTTCATAATTCACTTACTTTCAGATCAAGACTCCGTTCGCCTATTAGCCGTTGAAGGCTGCGGGGCTTTAGGTAAATTATTGGAGCCCCAGGATTGCGTTGCGCATATCCTGCCTGTTGTTGTAAACTTCAGTCAGGTAGAATCTACACTATTGACATTGTTGATGGATCTTATATATCATCTGTTAATTTTCCTTAGCCAGTACTTAGTAGTGCTGCCTAGTTTCTATCACATGCCTAGGTCGGTGTTAGGTTCTTGAAAAGTTGTTTTCTTTTGCTGTTGGATACGACATAGTTCAATCACTTCACTTCACTGTATCTTTATTCATTTTTTTCATTTTTTCCGTGTATGATAAGTTAGAGAAATTTCATTCTTTTCCTTTGGCTTACTTGATGGATAATTGTATAGCAAAGTTTGATGCCTCTTAGTTTCTTAATATCTTGATGCCTTGGGGTATCATTGCCTCTTGCTAGTGAATGAATAAATCTTTGTTTTTGCTTGTCAAAAGAAAAGTTATATTTAAGCTGTCAATGCTGCATATTTTCAGGATAAGTCTTGGCGTGTGCGATACATGGTTGCAAACCAGTTATATGAGCTATGTGAAGCTGTAGGTCCTGAACCAACAAGGTGAATATAAGCTCTCTTATACCATTTGACTCTTTTCCAAATCACAAGGAATGTTTCACATTATGAGCTTGACTAAAATTAATTTTAATTCTCAAATAGTAATACTTAATCTAGTACATAAGTACATAACTAATTACTTTCTAAAAGTTCTTAGAACCGCAGAAGCTGAATTTATGATAAAAATTGATGAGAATAAGAGAACAAAAAAGAGTTGGATTTACCACATGAGTAGTTTAGAAGACAAATAAAATGGGACATGAGTAATTGTTTTGCACATGCTGTTGGGTTATAATGTTTTTATAGTTATCTGATAAGTTGTTGCCGTGATTTAATAAAAAGGACGGACTTGATTCCTGCTTATGTGCGCTTACTTCGAGATAATGAAGCGGAGGTACGCATAGCTGCCGCTGGGAAAGTCACCAAATTTTGTCGGATTCTTAGTCCTGAACTTGCCATTCAGCATATTCTTCCATGTGTCAAGGTAGATGCTGGGTTTACTACAATAGTATCTGCAGAACCCTTTATAGTTTGTTGAGTTATGCGCCTCTGGGGCCCAATGCAATATAACTTGCTTCCTTAATATTGTAGGAATTGTCATCAGATTCTTCCCAGCATGTGCGGTCTGCTTTGGCAGGTGTGATAATGGGAATGGCTCCTATTGTGGGGAAAGTAAGAACTTTAATTTATTCAGGCACAATGAGATATCTGTTGATGTAAATCTTATTTTAAAATTCTATAATGCAGTTTTATTTTTTCAACAATTTAACCTGGTTCCAACTTTATCATATAATAAAGTGCTCTAAGTTTACTACAGAATGGTCCTATAAGTTCTAAACTTTTAATATTGCATGTAGAACCACATATGCTGGTTTACTTATTGTTTTATCTACTAGTTTCAACTTTCAAGAGAATCAGGTAACCTTGCAGGTAGCCAATTCACCTTGGATTTTTTTCTAATTTGTTCTCCTTTTTACTTCTTTGATGGATGCAGGATGCAACCACTGAACATTTGCTTCCAATATTTCTATCTCTTTTGAAGGATGAATTCCCTGATGTACGGCTTAACATTATTAGCAAGCTTGATCAAGTCAACCAGGTCTGTTAAATAATGGAGATTGCCCTTGTTTTCTGCAGTGATCTTTGAGTCTTAAGGCGTTTAAAATGGGTTCACTTATTTTATGTTCCTTATACTCTGTACTTGTTTGTGTATGAGAAATGTTGAGGCGTCGAATTCATTTCAGCTTTTCCTCTGACATGCACCCAGAATATGTATAACTGCTATTCTACTAGTATTAATTACTCGTTCCTAAATCTGTGACCTTTTTTGTACCCATTATCACTTGTGAATCGCTTGTTGCGCTTGTGGGGTTTATGCTTGCATATGTGTTATCTTTGCTTGTTTTCTGTTTATAATTAACAACTGACTCACTCTGACCATTTTATGCGGCAATTTTGGTTAATGAAGCTTGAAATAAGCTATTTGCACTAGTTTTATAATATTTATTCTACATTAATTTATAAAGCTATATGATTTACCTTACTTGAACTATGATTAGCACAAAAGAAACCATATGTGCTAGTAATTGCAAAATACATGAGACCCCTATAATAAGCATAGGGAGTATTATATAAGTTACAGTCAGGGGCGGACGTACGTGTAATACAATGGGGGCACACGCCCCCAATGAAAAATATAAATGCCCCCATTAAGGAAAAATGGTAATGAGTAGTGTGTATTAAGGCTCTTTATCCCCACACTGTGTAAGTAGTGTACAAGGCTCTTTGTTATACGGACCAAGTTAATATATTTTAATTTATTTTGTTTTTATTAATTTAATTGAACTATAACACCTATAATACTATTTGGAATCTATGTATTTGAAAATTATAAATTATATGTATTACTCTTTAACATGAAAACATTGGCCACAAAAAATAACGGAAACAATTTGAATAAGTTAAAAATCGTCAACTATCATAACTTGATATATTACCTAATATATCATCAGCTATTATGACCTTTAAAAAAATACTACCTCTGTCCCAAAGTAATTAGCCAAATCCACAACTGTGACCAATAATATATATATTTATTGGAAATTATTTATAATATAAAAATGATATGAAAATGTTCTTTGTTAAAGTCATGGGCGGACGTACGTGTAATACAGTGGGGGCACATGCCCCCAATACAAACATACTTTTCTTTAGTTTTAGTGTAGAATTGTATTTTAATAATAATAAAGAAGCTTAAGTGCCCCCAATGAAAAATATAAATGCCTCCATTAACTTTATCTCCATAACGAAAAATGGTATTGATTAGTGTGTAAGTAGTGGACAAGGCTCTTTGTTATACGGACCAAGTTAATATATTTTAATTTATTTTGTTTTTATTAATTTAATTGAACTATAACACCTATAATACTATTTGGAATCTATGTATTTGAAAATTATAAATTATACTATCCTCCGTTTCTTTTTAATCGCAACATGTTGAATTTTACACTATTCACATGTTCTACTTTGACTACATTTTACGCTATTATTTTATGAGAGTTATTTTTTTATAAAAATATTGTTCAATTCATCTCATTACAAATTTCCAAAATATGATTTTTTAAATTTTTTTTACTCATAGAGATTAAGATATAATTACGGTCAAAGACGTGCATTGACAAGTGTGAAATGTTGACCGTTGCAACTAAAAAAGAACGGAGGAAGTATGTATTACTCTTTAACATGAAAACATTGGCCACAAAAAATAACGGAAACAATTTGAATAAGTTAAAAATCGTCAACTATCATAACTTGATATATTACCTAATATATCATCAGCTATTATGACCTTTAAAAAAATACTACCTATGTCCCTGAGTAATTAGCCAAATCCAAAACTTTGACCAATAATATATATTTATTGGAAATTATTTATAATATAAAAATGATATGAAAATGTTCTTTGTTAAAAATACTTTCATAAAAGTATAAAAATACTCAGCATCCATGTCTTACTGTTGTGGATGAAATATGTTTGTGGTTTCATGCTCTATTTGCCATCACATTCATCATTTATATGTTCTCTTTGAACTGGGATTCATGTTTTCCTGTATTGCAGGTTATTGGAATTGATTTGTTATCTCAATCACTATTGCCAGCAATAGTTGAGCTTGCAGAGGACAGACATTGGAGAGTGCGTCTTGCTATAATAGAATACATACCTTTGCTGGCTAGTCAACTGGGTGTGGCTTTCTTTGACGATAAGCTTGGATCTCTTTGTATGCAGTGGTTGCAGGACAAGGTCGGTTTGGTGTTCTGATTTCTTGTTCTACATTTAACCATTCCACAAAGATATGTAAATATGCTTGTTGCTATTGCAATGTCAATTTTGTAATGGAGCATGAATGTAGTGCATGTTTTGATTTCAGATCTAAAGAGGTAAAAGTGGTTCTTTAAGCCTGCAAATTGTTCTCAATGATGGCTATATTTTATAAATTTAGAAGGTATTTTTTGAAAGTCTATTTTGCAACAGCATGTCTAATTTTTTTTAAAGTAACCTTTACTTATGAACCACTTTTTGTTGTTTTCTATTCTCCAAATCAATTTTGGGCTACTTTCTTAACAACTTGTACTTTATCAAGATCGCGTTTTCAAGAGTAATAAAACTCACATACTATTACTGTAAATAACTTTTACTAAAGTATTTGAGAAAGGATCTCTTGGCCAACTGAACACCAAACTATCAGCTATCCAACTCGTCATGTCCTGATATTTTCCGTGGAAGTGGAAAAATCATATGGTATTACGGTTTTGGAATTACTTCTATTTTTACTCCTTTAGAAAGTCGGGGCAGTAAGGTCTTCCTGTGTAAATATTTGCCATGATTTTTGTATGAACTATAGTAACTTGGTGTAAAATTATAAAGCATTTTCTGACACCATAACTTTTATGCCACTACCCCAAGTAGATGCTAATGGTATTCTGCTGTTGGGATTAAGGTAGTTCTAATGGCGATGCTGGTGGTGAGGGGAACTCCAGAAACATATCGTTTCAACTGAATCGTTCTTAATTTTAATCTCATTACAACTATTTGTCTCTGTTGTTTATTGGCTATTATTAGCCTAAAGAAAGAACATTGTCTTATGAATTTCCCTATGAAACAAATTCTCTATACTGTGTTGCTTTTTGTCTTTATTTAGTTTTGTGCCACTTGTAATTCATTTGACGTGATGACATAGGTTCATTCAATAAGAGATGCTGCTGCTAATAATTTGAAGCGGCTAGCTGAAGAATTTGGTCCAGAATGGGCAATGCAGCACATCATTCCTCAGGCATGTTTTCTGACTCTTGCTATGCATGCTATCATGACTCTGAAACAATATCTTTTGTAAGAGTTTGTATAAGAACACCTCTTATGATCTTATCATAAGCAAATCTCCAAATCTATGAGAAGTTATAATCTTTACCTTTTGTTTTTCTTATCAATGGCTAACCTTCGTAAGGTGGCATTTTTGTAATTGTCCTAAATTCCAACATTTTTTCGTGGAATTGTTCTAAGATAATTTAAAATGGCACATTGTGAAAATTAGCCATTGATTAGAAATATGAAGGTGGAGATTGAAAGTTTCATTTATAAACATCCTTTTATGATAAAAGGTGTTCTCATAAGAATCCTTAAGCATTGATTTGTAGTCTTGTGACATTGGGCTAAAGTCTGCACTCTGCAGCATTGACCGTTCTAAAAAACGCTCCAACTTTTTTGTGATCAATGTTTTTTGTGTTTTTACATTTTCCGATGTGCTTGAATAATTGTTTTTTGGGAAAACTGTCAAATAGGTCCTCGAACTTTCATAAAAAAGTCAATTAAGTCCTTCTATAGGAGGTTCTGTCCGGCCGTCGCGATTTGGTGCAGTTCCCGGTGGAATTTTTTGATGAAATTTTTTGAGCATCTTATTCACCAAGTCTAGTTTACTCATACCAAATTTCAGCTAAAAATTCAATTGGGAACACATTCAAATTAATTCTTGAAGATAACTACGCATTTTTGCGTTCTCGAATTAATTTGAATGCGCTCCCGATTAAATTTTTAGCTGAAATTTGGTATGAGTAAACTAGACATGGTGAATAAGATGCTCAAAAAATTTCATCAAAAAAATCCACCGGGAACTGTCCCAAATCGCGATGACCGGACAGAGTCTCCTATAGAAGGACTTAATTGACTTTTTTATGAAAGTTCGAGGACCTATTTGACAGTTTTCCCTTGTTTTTTTCTCAAAAGTATTTTTTATGTTATGAGCAAATAATTTTTTCTTTTTTGGCTATTCTTAAATAAATTAAAATGTTGTTTTGTGCAGCTCTTAGACATGGTGACTAATCCTCATTATTTGTACCGAATGGTAATTCTTCGTGCAATATCATTGCTTGCACCTGTTGTGGGCTCCGAGATTACATGTTCAAAATTACTACCTGCCATTGTTGCAGCATCTAAGGATAGGTATTTAATACACTATTTTTCACATTGCTTACTTTTAAGCGAGGAGTTATTTTAATCTTTTGCTTTTTCTTGGAATTGCAAAGGAAAGTGAAAAATAATTGTCCTTTAAAAACTATTTACATGTATGCAGACGTCTTAGTCTAGATGATAGAAATAAATACAGAGTAAATAAAAAGAGATAGAACAAGCATTTAAAATTAATTTGTTATGATTGAGCCTGTCTGTATATTCTTTGCTAATTAAATTTGGTGTATCTTGACAGAGTGCCCAACATTAAATTTAACGTGGCAAAGGTTTTACAGTCGCTCATCCCCATCGTCGACCAATCCGTAAGAATCTTCTACCTCTACCTGTTTTTCTCTGGCCATTTTTTTCCATTCCTTTCTAGTCACTTTTGGATGAACTTTTTCAACCCATTGTAGTTGGCAGAGAAAATAATCCGTCCCTGCTTGGTTGAGTTGACTGAGGATCCTGACGTTGATGTTCGCTTTTTTGCCGACCAAGCACTTCAGTCAATTGATAATGTTGTGATGTGAAGCTAGCTGAAGATTTCATGGCAGGGAAGTTGTAGTTCACTTATGTGCAGGGTATATTTCGTTTCTAGTTAATGAAGAACTTAATGAACTTATTATATACCTAGTATGTTTAAAACATAAACAATCTTCTATTCCTATACGTCTATAACAAAAACCTTTTATGGCTGAAAATAGACACAAAAGTAAACAAAAAGAAAGGGGCATTCCGAGAATTGAACTCGGGAGTCGGGACCTCTCACACCCAAAGCGAGAATCATACCACTAGACCAAATGCCCAACCAACTTGAGTGTGTTGAGTTTTTAATATTTTTATTTTGTTGTTTTATCCCTCTTGGTGGGGCAAATGTTACGCTTATTGAGCTGAGTCATATCTTTTTTTCATATTTTTTAAAAATGGTCCTATAGATTGTTAGCAAAATGAAAGCAAACCTCTAAAGAGCGTTTTTTTAAGAAGCGTTTTTTTAAGGAGGCTTAATTTGATAACACAACATTAGTATTCAGATAGGAAGTTAAACGACAAAAGGACCATATACATTATACAACCGTCAACTCTCGAACCAGATTTAGAGTCAATCACCTTTATAAGAGCAATGTAACTCACTGATCCTATAATGGGCATAAATGAGTCAACGACGATTAAAGCAGGCTTTCCATCACCCAATCATAATGTAAGAGTCTTACAATAGTAAAAGTAATCAACATAAAATAAGCAGTCTGATCATGAAAAATAGATCGCAAGCAAACAATAAAATTAAAAAAAAATGCTTCCAAACCCTAAATTCTCTTGCACTCCATGGTGGCGGTTCAGGAGGGGGACGATCTAGCCCCCTCTGTCGCCACCCTAACACTAGGGGTAGACTCAGGCCGAGCGGCCCGGCCCGGTACTGTTTGGGCCTGGTCCGGACTGGTACCCGGTCTTGGAGCCGATTCGGGCCAACCGGAATCAGTCAGTTCCCGGTGCGGGCTCGGCCCCCCTAAAACGCGAACTGGCCCGACCGGATGGGCCTTATTTTCAAAATTTTTTATTCTACCGGGTTGGGTTGGGTGTTTTGGGGGGTGGGGGTGGGGGTGGGGGGTGAAGGGGGGGGGGGGGTCGGGGGTTGATTACAAAATCAAAAGAAAAAAATAAGCTCGAACCGGCCCGGCCCGGCCCGGCCCGGAACCGCCACCTTTCCTAGATAAAAGCCCGGACGGGCCTAGGCCCGAACCGGAACCGGCCTGGCCCGGGTCCACCCCTACCTAACACTGATGATCTTGAATCCAGATCTGTTCCAACCTCTAGCCCCACGGTTCGTACATGATCCTTGGCCGTCGGAGACCAAGCATCCATCTTCCGCCCCTGCACAACCTTCGGCCGCCGCTGGAGACCAAACACCATCTTCATTCCCTCTACTTAATCTCATCAAAGCAAAAAAAGAAAAATAACCGCACAATTGATGGCGGAAGAAGAAACCCTGTATGCCTAAGCCCGCCTGCGGCGACCGCTCCTCGTTAAAAACGATAGCGGAAGAAAAAATCCTAGCGGTTGAAACTTCCAATATCTCTAAAGAGCGTTAATCAACATATTTTTAATTTTAATTGGTTGGGTGATTTTCAATTTAGTTCGATGCTTATCCAATTAGAACTGGTTGTTTGGTTCAAGCATTAGTGTCTCTTACACGAATGGATGCAATTCCAAACTTGAAAGAATTAGAAAAATACATGAATGACGCGGGGGACTCTCCCATCTGACGCCCCATTTCTTAAAAGTTCTCCCCATCCCCGTTACTCTCAAACCCGTCCCATTGCATTGTCCCCCACTGAAATGTCACCCCTACTTAGCACATATGAATTAACTTGATTGGAGTTTGTCACATATTATGTAAAATGTGATAAACTATGAATACGAAGTTTGGAGTATATTAGAGAGATGTATATTTCTTTTTCGCATGCTTGGATTGCCTAAATAATATTGTTAACTATTATTCCGGTGACAATGGCATCGGCTGAAAGAAGTTTTCCAATGTTGAAGTTGATAAAAATTATCACTGTTCAACAATGTCACAAGAAAAGTGTGAACTCCCTATATTATCCATAGAAAAAGAGAGTTGTCTACTCTTGATTGTAATGATGTGCTTTCAAATTTTACACGCCAAGAGTCAAGAAGAATAGGGTATTATGTAGTGCTTTAATAGTTTTATTTATTTATTACCTCTTACATTTAGTAAAAAACGGTGTTATAATTCTCTAATTATTTCATATTTAATTTCATTATTAATTTTAAGTATTATTTGATCTCACTAGTCATTCTTTGTTTTGGGCATCAAAAATCCTACAGACCCCTTGTCCATTTTCCCTTTCTTAATTATATGATTTGCATTTGTGCAAATCATATAATGATGAGTTTGTGAGAGAAAATGAGATTTTTTGAAAATCAAATAACTAATTAATTATTAAGCGATAGCAAAAATACAAGAGAATGAATAGCCTGAGGCTATAATGAGATGAGACATAGAACGGAACAGATTCAATGAATCCTTCCAGATCGCTAACCCCGCAATAATGTAGTCTAGTCTAACAGCTTTGCTGATCTTCTTGCTACTCCACAGAGAAATTAAAAAATTATAACTAAAAGATCCGGCTTCACCAGCCACCGGAAAGGGAGAATTGGTTTGACCAGTAACCAACAAAGGGAAATCAGTCGAGTAGAAATTTCTTGAAGCATCAGTTCGACCAGCCACCAAAAAGGAGATCCGCTTGATCATCTTCTTCTTCCCAGAGTGGGGCGGTGGTTCAGGTGGTGGGCGAGTATTTGAAAGATCAGAACAACAAGGTTGAAAAAGTTTCACCAAATCGATTACCCCGATTAGAAACGCACAGCCTCTAGACATTGCTAGGAAAATAACATACCACACGCTCACATGGAGAGAAAATGAGATAAAAAGTATGTTTTGAAGAACCGTTCCAAAAAGGGCAGGAAAGGAAATGGAAAATTAGTTGCGGGACCTCAAGCAAAACTTCCCCCATTTTTTAAAAATTTTATAATTTTTTTATTTGTTCTAAGTTTTGCATTATAAATATATATTGATATGCACAATTTTTTATGGTTATTCATATGGTATCAATAATTCAATATTGTATACATAAAATCTGGAGAGAAAAAATCTACAGTTTTTTGGACCCAATTTTTTTGGGACGCAGTATCTTACAATTTGTTTTACATCTTTCAGTTGTTTTCAAATTGCGGTTAAAAAAAATCTCGGATTTAGACTATCACCCAACCTAGGTACAAACTTCTTCAAAACTATTCCAAAATATATGGCTACGGGCAACCATGCTCTATCAATAAATCAAATTCTCAAACAGTTTATAACAAAATTAGATGACTAGAAAATATAACAATCATAATCATGAGATCTTAATTTTATATTTGGATCTATTTAAGAAAAACTTACGTCCAATGATGTCAACATTTGGTTTGTACATGCAATATTGGTTTCATATTAAAAATTATATAAAAAATTATGAATTTCAATAAATGTTTTAAAATAATACTACCTCCGTCCCTTAAAACTTTATCATCTTTCATTTTTGAGACATCCCAAAAAACTTTGTCACTTTCCCTTTTAATCAATTATTTTGTAGTTTCTGTTATTTCTCTCTCCTTTGCACAAACCTCAATCACACAGTTTTTACTTTATTATTCTCCGTGCCGGCCAACTTTGCCAAAGATTTAAGGGAAGGAGGTAGTAAACAATAAATAACAGAGTTATAAAGCTTTAAAAAAAGAGGGGATTCTACATTGATAAAACTATTTAAGAAATGAATATTGATTAAAAAAAAAAATTGAAGAACATGTCATTCGAAAATACAAAAGTTTAAGCCAACAGTTATTTTTAAAGTGCCAAGTTATTTTTTTTATTATCTTTTATGCAATATTGGTATAATATGAAAAAGTTTATAACAATTCAAAAGACAAAAGTTTTTAAAAAACAAAAGACATTGGATTAAAAAAGTTTTTAATTTTTTTTGAATGTGCGGAGTTAATTTTTTACAGATTTGGCGCCAAGAATAAAAAGAATTGTTGGAATTTATGGAGTTTTATTTTAAGCCCTCACTCCTAATTAATTGTGCGCACAATAACAAAAAATCCTAAATTGCAAAATTTAATAGTATATTTTTTTATTTTTTAGATATGCAACATTGATATCATATGAAAGATAATAAAAGTTAATGAATTTGGATGTATTTTTAGTAATAATCGGAGTACAAATAAAAAAATATAGTTCTTTTAAAATATAGATATTCTTTAAAGTATCAAATGAGTTTTTATTTTTGTATAATTAATATTGGTCTTATAGAAAAAATAATACACAGTATAAAGTTTTGAAATTTGATACTCCCTCCGTATCAAATTAATTGACGCATATGCTTTTTCATGTAGTTTAAGGCAAACATATGTAAAGTATGAGGTTTTGGTACTGTAGCAGTACTGTAGCTGCATTTTGGGTGAGTTTATTTCCAAAAAGGGAAATGGGACTTTTATTTTGATACGTTCCGAAAAGGAAAGCGGGTCAATTAATTTGATACGGAGGGAGTACATCTTTTGTAAGAATCATCGCACAAATTAAAAAGTTTTACTCTTTTAAAATTTACACGAGATTTTATTTGGTGGGACTCTTGAGTGGCATTTTCCTCTTTCATTGGGCTTGTTACTTGCCTTGTTTTCTTACTTTAAAGCTGTCACTTCAATTGGTAGTTCTCTTAACTGTGATTATTTGAGCATTATTTTGGAAAATACTTTTAACCTAATACTAATTTTGAAAATATTTATTTATTTAACATTATTTTGGGGAAAAACTCTTTGTGTTTGGCACATCTTTTAAAAAAATATAAAGCTATTTTACACTTCTGATATTCACAAGATGTAAGAAAATAATGATGGTCAACAAAGTATACTAGTACAAAGTATTGAAGTTATTAAAGCCTTTTATTAAGATATAAAATAATTACTTGCATGATATATTTTACATAGAAAGTGATACTTTGCTTTCAATTATTTGATTATTTCGCGTGTAAAAATTTAACATATAAACACCAAACGAGTTCTAAAACTAAAAATGTATATTATAAAACCGAGTGTTGCATAAACAAATAGACAACTTTCAGCTGTTTAATACTTTAATTCTTCTCAAGTCTAACAAAAATTGAAACGAATAAGAGCCTATTTGATAGCATTGCTATCAAATTCATAGCACATAATTGATTGATTTGACTGATTCTGATGGAATTTATGAAATTTTAATTGAAGTGACTGCATTGACTGAATCTGATGATATACTAGTATATAAAATAACTAAAATAATTATCTACGGTAACTTAAGTCAATACATCCACAAAAATAACTCAAACCTTACTTTTTCTGTTTATTACACAATTCAACGTGTAAAAACAAAAGTTGTGTGTTTAGTGAAAAAATTGGTTGATAAACTAATATGCCCAAAAACAATATTGTCAAACGGCAAGTTTTTGTTTTTCTACGAGTCATGAACAAATTAAAAATGACAAGTCTTAGCGCAACATCCACAGAAAAACGATCGAGAAACATGAAGGATAATTATCTGACTTTTTTACCATAATTTAATCTCATCAAACATGAATGACATAATCTGGTGAGAGCTAAATATACGAGACAACAACGTTTGACGACTCCTTGTTTAGCAGCCAGTTTCTTGGTCAGATTCCATTCAATGATTCAACCACTAAAAATCTCAATCTATGTTAGATTACTGAAAATAGTAATTACACAACTCTCAAGGTGGTGTTTGAGTCATTAGGAGACAGTGGTTAGTAATAAAGCTGTTTCATGATCAGCTAGCTTCTAGGCCGAGCTAACCATAAAGAGCTGAGAGCACGGAGTCGAGACATGTAGTCGCTCATCGCCAGAAGGGCGCGAGCTGCTTGACGTGTCGTCAAGATTCGGTGCAATCGGTGCAATGTTTGCTGCCTCAGTAGATCAGCCTATTGATCAAACACATATTAATGAGTAGAAATGAACCAAATTATACTTCCTTCATCCCATTTTATTTAGTTGTAATGTTTAATGCACTAATGTTCTAAATCTGTAAACTAAAATAAGTAGAAGGGAAGTAATTTATGGGTTGGTATCAATTACCTGATAGAGCAAGTTCTCTATGGTGGCTAGCTTCCCCATAGCAATCCCCATAAGGTCCATGAAATCGCCAACATTCCCGGAACCGAGAGACGCCGATGAGAGCGTCTCCACAAGCAGTTGTTGCAAAGCTTCCATTCCTTGTGACAGTGCTTCCTCAGCTTGTTGTGAAGATTGCTGCAAATTGCATATCCCCACCAATTGTTGCTCTGTCAATGGCTCCAAATGACTCACTAGTATCTGAAATTTACCCAACCAAACAGCAAAATATATAGGAGAAATTAGAAGGAATTAAATGTGGGGAAAACGAAATATTAGTCCCAACTCTATAAACTCTATAACTTAAAAACTCTAAATTTATGCAGCTATTTAAAAACATTATTCATGTTTGAAATTTTAGTTTCATTTACATTCACCAATGTCAAATGACCACAAAAATAGCCTTCATTGGCGATTTTTCTGTTTCCATTGCATTTCAAGAGGCACACCATAAGGCTTTGTTAGGCTTCATTAATACTTTGAATTCAGGGGCGTAGCCAGGACAATGGGCTAGACTGGGCCGGTACAAAGAATATTATTGGGAAAAAATTTACACGGAATTTTTTACACTAAAAATATTGACATTTTTCAAATTTGGGGTGGGCCAGGGCCTAGCCTGGGCACCCCCTAGCTCCACCCCTGCTTTGAAAAAATCCTCAATTTTTATGTAGTACTAGATCGTTTTTTTCATAGTAAATTACATCGCGAATTTCATGCATTTCGTGGAATCCAAACATACCCTAAGAATCTCGGAGCAACGAAAGCCGCCCAACCACATGAAGCATCTTTCAGCGGGAGTCTTCCACATTCCCGATAGCACGTGAAAAACGTCGGCCTTCGCACCAATCCGCTTGATCTTAAACAGGTCATCGTAATGTGACATCACTCCGTCAACAAGATGACGCAATTCATTATCTCCCATGAAAGAGAGTACAGCCGATCTCAGGTCGCTCACAAGCCGTTGATGCTCATCAAGCCAGCTACCATATTCCATGTCAAATGCCAAAGCACCTAGAAAACAGTATATACAGAATCACATAATAGTTGGTAATTAAGCCACTTAACCAAAACTATTAAGTTATGAAATAATGACCACCATATACTAATTTAAAAACAATAGCAAATCTATGACATTTGAACGATAGTATTATTTTATTGGTAATAATAGCAACTTTAGTGATCATTATTTTGTTCAATTTACATTTTAGTAATATTTTTATCGAGTTCAATGCATCAAATGCCTTCATGATATGCAAATTATGTGCATTGGCCTTTTTTATTTAAAAAATGCATGAAATCCTCCTGTGTTTTAAATTAATCATGCAAATGACAACTTGAAGTAACAAATTTAATAGAACAAAATCATGTTTCTAAATGTTACTCCTATGAAATAGCATTCAAGTAAATTTGTCAAAATCTCTAAATTATACTCCCTCTGGTTTTTATTAAACTTCACACTTTCCTTTTTGAGACGGTCTAAAATAAACTTCACACTTCCTTATTTCCTTTTTTGGCAAAGAAATCTACATCAAAACAGTGCCAAACAGTGCTAAACAGTGCCTCAACAGTGCCAAACAGTGTCTCAACAGTGCCAAACAGTGTCAAACAGTGCCTCAACAGTGTACTCTACAGTAAAGTCAAATTTCTTTCCTTATTTTGTGTGAAGTCAAAATATGAAGTTTAATAAAAACCGGAGGTAGTACAAAAATACTAATCTGTTTTCTTTTAATCGATAATTAAGTTTGTATTTCCCTTATTTCAATACTAAACCTTATTTTATTCATAAGTTTTATTTCAATAACATTTAAAGAGAACCTCACAATCTATTTTCATCTCTCTTTTTTAACCACTTTAAATGGAAGGGGTAAACTCAGAAGTAAAAGACAAGTGCACATCCAAATAAAGAACTGGGCTTTGTTTGAGTGACGGGAGTAATAAACATCAATGTAAACGTGTGTCAGAGCACAAAAGATATAAGTTATGATTTTGCTCGCTAACCATTTCCAATAGAAGAATGGCTTTTATCTCCAACAAATCCAGATGCAGCAGCATATGCTCCCTGTATGAATGTGGTCATTTGAAACATGACAAAAAATATTAAATGAGCTTATTTTCAATTACAATTTAATTAAATGAGCTTATTTTCATTCATTTGGAGGATGTTTGACTTGCTAAGACATGTACAGAACTGAGTTGTTTGGGTATTGGAGTTTTACCCAAAATGATGTCTTTTTAAACCTAAACTAAGCAAACATGTGTTTCTTTGTTTTAACAAAAATTCTTATATCTTCATCCAATATGAAGAATAAATTGATTATTTAATTCGATACAAAGTAAATAATCTTAAATAATCTGTTATTCAATTGACTAAAGTGAAGAGACATTTCAATTCAAACAAGACTTGATCATCATCATTTCATCATCATTTACCCCAGCGCCGCAAAGGCTCCCACCTATGGTGGGGTAAGAGGGGTCGGATGTACGCAGTCTTACCCCTGTACTTAAGCACCGAGAGACTGTTTCTAGATGACCCATAGTTAAAATTACGTCCAAAATTGCATGGACTGACGGCTGCTTCATAAAAAAGAAGCGCTTACAGTTTAGTGAACCATTTTGCTTTATTCCATCGTATTCTAAAGCCAAAAATAGTGAATCTTTGGCTCCATTAAAAATGATGGAAAACAAACAAGACTTGATGAAAAAAACAACCCCTAAATGCATTGAGATTCAGCTACATTCTAAAAGATAAGCTTAAAATTTGAGTTGTTTCAAAATCCTAAAAGTATGTTCACAAATTTATAGTACTTGAATTAATGGAGAATGGTTAACATGTCCTACAAAATGTTTGATTAAGTACTTAATTGAATCACAATCTTTATGGTTTTTACAATATCTTTTTCAAAAAGCGGGTATCTGGCCCGGGCCATTTTCACCTCGAGAAGAGAAACAGCTACATACCTGGTGTTGGCGGGCAAGCTTAAGTTCCTGCTCTAGTTGTGTTAGCCTTACTCTACTATTCTCCAGCTGTTGAACGTATGCCTTTAATACAACAAAAACAACAAAGTACTTTAAGTCAGGCTGGACCCAATTCAATATTATTTTCATTCCACATAGTCAGGCTAGCTACTAGACTATTTTTGCTTCTGAAACTGAAGTAAATTATGTATAACAATATATGAAAATCTCATTCATTACTTTCTTCCTCAATCTACTTTTACGAGCAGCTTCTCTGTTCTGAGCTAGTCTACGAAGAGCCTGCAGGGAAGGGAAATGCAGCAGAAAACATTAATTAGCTACAATAAATGAAGCACGGAAACTACCGGGAAAGAGTATGCATGCCTCTATGTGTACCCCCAAATTGTCTGCGTCACAAAGAAATTTGGTGAATTTTTAATCAAACAACATGTGATACCGACAAAATTTGGAGGAAAAAATTGTCCAGCATCACAAAAAATGTGTTTGATACTCGTAGTATCACACAGAATTTGTATTAAACAGTTTGTATTAAATGGTTGGTATTAGAAACCATTTAGATGTGTACGGCCACATATACTGATACGAGATAAACAGTTTAGATGTGTACGGCCACGTATGCAGATACGAGCATTACGCGAAGCAAGTTTGTAAAATATTACATTTGCAGTTTCCACTCCCCACATTTTCTTAACAATTAGAAAAAAACTTTTTGGTTTGCTATTTGAAGATAATAAGAGAGAAGTGAGGTACCTTTTGCTCCCCCAGCTTTCCTTTGGGCTTCTCTAATCCTATTATAGCACCATGCGTGACGCCAACGCTCTAAATGAACATCAAATTTAAATATTTACAAATTTTTAGTGTAATGACACACCAAGTTAAAATAAGAAATACATGGTTAAGTTTTGTAGGATAGGGGGAGTATAATTTCATTCCCAAAAGACCTTAGAATGTTTGTAAAGAAGCTTCTTTCAATCCTAGATCATATACTTGAACAGATCAAATAGAACCACACTTAAACAAACTAAATCAAACCAGATCTAGACAATAGCAAAAGTTAAAATACTAGATACATCTACAAGCCAAAAACTTAAACAACCACGGATCAAAAAAAATTAATCCAACCAAAAACATATTTATGAAACAATTAATAAAACACAAGGAGAATGTTGGTCTCCGTAAAATACAAGGAGAGTGTTAGTGTTTGGACTTCTCATAATACGACTTTTCAAAACTCATGTTTCCACTTTTCATGTAGGAACATGAAGATAATACCATAAGAATATCATAGGGAGTTAGGGCATGTTTGGCACAAGTATCCCAAAAGATACTTAAAAGAAACTGTTGGGACATGTTAGGACATGTTTGAGATTTGTAGTAACTGTTGGTTTTAATGATCGAATAGATTTAAGAGAAAAAATAGCAGTTGTTGATAAAAAGTTGGGTGTTTGGTATACAAGTTTTTCATAGATGCTAAGCAGTGTAGATGTTCAAAAAAGATATATTATTTTGATAAAAACTCTTTAAAATTGTCCAGCAAAACACACTATTAGATGGTTGTTACAATTTTTATATAGTACAAAAGTTTAAAGATATAAACTTTAAAGGCAAGTATAGGTCAAAGTTTTTGGAACAAATAAAAAAGTTAACAGAAATACAATGAGAGGGAAGGACTAATAATGAGTGTTACTCTGTATGTAAGGATAGACCCAAGTACCTACGCAGATCTGCCTCTGCCAATTTGATGCTTTTTCAGAAAAGTAATTTTAGGGATTTACTTTGGGTTATTTTTACATACCTCCCCCGAGGTTTTCACAATTGACACCTTGAGGCAAAATATCAATATATTATTGATCACCCCCCTCCCCCTAAAATACATTTACGGCAGTCACCCTACTCAATCAAAACAACGTTTTTTTAATGAATAAGGCAAGAAAAAATTGGGACATCGGTGCATTGTAATAATAATACTGCTGTGCCAAATATCAAATGCATCAATATTATTCATACGGAATATCAAAAGATTAATATATACTCCGTATTTTTTTTATAAACATGAATATCACATCTAAAAACTTATTAAAAAAAAGCTAAAGTTTTAAGTTTTAAAGTTTTTTAGACTTAGGATACTTTTACTTGGAGTTTTTTCAGTCTCAGACCAAGCTAGACTTAAAAAGACTAGATTAGTTCAAATCAGACCAAACTTCCATAGTTATAAAATGCACAGAGACCATATGCCTACCAGATCAGACCAAATCAGTTTAGACTAGACCAAACCAGACCAGACCAGTAATTTCAATCCAAGTAATAACATCCTTACAAAATTTGAAACTCAAATCTAACACCAATAATTCGTACTAACTAGCCAGTTAACGTACATCTTGCTTGCTAAGAGTGATGACCACCAGCACAAGGATTTGTGAATTTCCAACTTGTGTTATTTTTAAATAGTTTCTGCCTTCTTCAAATTTTACTTCTTCAAATTTTACAGGTCTAGGCGTAAGTGCGTAACTATGCGGTATTTAGGCTTCGCTCTACTTCAAATTTTAAAATTGCTAGTTTAAAAAATTATGTCAAAATATTTTAAAATTTTATTTGTACTAGCTTAACCGTGTGTGCCCTCGTCAATGATAAGGGTATCGCTCCCGCAACTGCACATCACGCTATCCACATTCCTACATCGTCAACATCAATTTCCCTACTTTGGAACATCGTTGATAAAGTACACTCAACATATTTTTATATATTAGTTTAGTAAAAAATAATTAAATTATTAGAAGTAATGTTTTTGTTTTATTTTTCTGAATAGTATGAAATTACAAAATACACATTTCGATGTTAAAAATAAATAAAAAATTTATTAATTTTTCTTTTATTTTTTCGATTAAGAGAAAAATGAGTTTGTATAGATTTCGACTAGTTATGGAGGCAATATGGATTAAAAATTTGAGTTTCATATTTCCTGAGTCTAAAAAATCCAACAGTTTGATACTTCATACGGAGTATTTTTTGTAATAACTTTATATAATAACAGTGGATTAATACTCCGTATGAATATGGAATATATGTGCTACACATTTTATGTAGTTTTGCTACCGTACTATTATTACAAGACATTGATGTGTCAATCTTTTATTGTCTTAGAGCCTGTTTGATAATATTAAAATCGGTTAAATCGGCTGATTCTACTAAAATTTATGAAGTTCTGACTGAAGTAACTGTATTGGTTGATCCTGCTGATTTATGAAAAAAATATAATAAAGTTTATTTTATTAATAAAATAAAGAAAAAGATATTTGAAAAAATAGCTAAATGGTCATCTACAGCTTTAGCCATTATAGCCAGAAATGTAATTTCAACCTTACTTTTTCTTATGATTATACAATTCAGCGCGCGAAATCAATAATTACGTGTTTGATTAAAAAGTTGATTGATAAGTCTGATAAGCCAAAAAATAGAAAAACTGACTCTTTGTTTTTTAAAACAAAATTCGTTGTTTTGGTTGAGTAGAAGTGTCCCTTCTACCATACATGTATTTTAGAGAGGAGGGGGTTATCAATAATATATTGATACTTTGCATTCAAGTGTCAAATGTAAAAACCTCAGGGGAGGTATGTAAAAATAATCCGATTTACTTTAAAGTGGAATTGTATTCTTTTAATTTTACGCCCCTATCCATTTTAGTTCTACTATCTGCGTTTTAGTCCCGCGGCCCTACCCACAAAATATCAAATCAAATTTTCTTAAATAAATAAACATTGCTCACTTTTAATACTAGTAGTCTTTTGTCTTTTAATAAACATGGGATTAAATAATCAATTTTGTGTAATTAGGGGGTGTTTGGAACTGATTCTGCTTCTGCTTCTTTTTAAAAGCAGAATCAGTTTTCAGAAGCTGGTACCCTCCAGCTTCTAAAAAAACTGATTCTGAGAGTAAATTAGAGCTCCAGAAGTGCTTCTGGAATTTCATCCAAACACTCCAGCTTCTGCTTCTGCTCCCTGAAGGAGCAGAATCAGTTCTGAGAATCAGATCCAAACACCCCCTTAGTCTTTTGTCTCTTTCTGACGATCAACCTTATACGGAGTATCTCCTTCAACTAATCACATTTCAAACAAAGTAAAAGGTAAAGTAAAATAGTACTCCGTACTTATAGGGAAAATGGGAGAAAGTACTGAGGAGTAAAAGAAAGCATACTAAAGTTAAAGGATGAAGTTGCTAAAATAGATACAGGATACATACGTAGTACTAAAAAAAACTTTTCAATACTACAAATAAAAAGGAGTATGAAATTATTATACGAGTACTTAATAATCTCGGGTCAATTTTGAACAAAGGCATAGATTTTGGCTCTAACAAAGACATTAAAAATTAAAATCACGACATTTGAATTTAATAGATCTATTTTAGTTTATAGATCAAAGTATTTGTGAGTACATATACATAAATATTACTCCGTAGATAAATTAATTTTTGGAAAAAGTATTAAATATTTAAAAATGATGCTATGCTTTTATTAGTTTTAGGGAAAATCGCACTTATGATCCCTCAATTAATCACCATATTAAAATGTCAAACCCGTGTTTTTTAGATTGTAAATGTCACCTTCAAATTGACAGATGTGTTGTAAATGTTATCTTCAGTGAATTTTTAGTGGTAAATATTGTCGTTCATAATCCATATCCAATTCGATACTACCAATAAATTTGATGGGGACCATTTACAACACATTTGTCAATTCAGGTGACATTTATTTGACATTTCAATTTGATGACTAGTTAAGGGACCAAAAGTGCGATTTTCCCTTTTTTAAATGGAAAGTGTGGTTTTCCCTTTTTAAAGGAAAAGTGTGATTTTCTCTTAGTTTTAAGTTTTCAAAGTTTAATTTGAAAAGAGAGAATCATTTTCTACGATTTTAAATGAAAAAATGACATGCATATTACTAAACAGACGAAAAAATGATTTAATGTTTTTTGGAGAAAAATATGACTAACAACTTTGTATAGTAAATGGATAAGAGTCATTATAGGGTATTGCACGGTGATCTGGTAGATGATAAGTTTTAAAAGAAAATTAAAATAAATCATATTTTTATCTTTTACATTTCAATTATTATTAATGGGAAAGGGTCTTTTTAATATTTCAGTTAGCGTGTACGCACCTCCCCATTGAAAATAAAAAGTTGGAATACACACTCCGTATATGTATACTTGCACACTTCGTTTTAATACGGAGTAATACAATAAAAATATGTTTTATGTAGTAAAGAATTAAGGATGCATAAATGAATCTAGAAATGTTTAAAATATTACTCATCACATATTCCGTATATAGTGTTCACAGGGACGGATCCAAGGGGGCGCGGGGGAGACCGCCCCATTGGACTTTCAAAAATTTCTACTATACATGTAGTATTTTCATAAAATTTTCATACTTTAATTAGATATATATGTTTTTGCCCCCCTTAACTTTTAGTTTTCAAAGTTAATATATAGCCTTACATAGTGTAATACATAGTACTTAATTGGAGATATAAAAGAAGTAAAATCTAAAATAATTTAGATAGTTTAAGACTTAGAATTACTATTATATAAAAACTCCTAGCTTGTAATATTAAATTATTTTTATTCGATAAAAACTGTGTTCATCGAGTCATTATATTGCTTTGGATATAAAAACACTTGAAGGTTTTTACAAGAAGACTTAACTCTAAGGTCTCTTGACCCTAGAGTTTTAACAACTCAATACTTGGAACAATTAAACACTACTCTGCATGTATACTTGTATAGTGTAATACGAGAGTATATTCTACAAAGTGGCCAAATTGGTTTCCCAAATAATGAAAGCAATTGACAAAAATATCTTAACTTTTATATACTTTTGTGGAGTAGCAACTTTTGCGAACATAATAGCAACTTTTCTGACTGATGATATATTTGTAACAACTTAAGACATATTTTGGTCGATCAATTTTATTTAAGTACGAATAATATTTAATGAAAACCTGTTAGTTTGCACACTTATTTTTGTAACTTCAAGTTTTTAGCAAATATACCATTTTTCATATGTTCCGGCCAACAGCCGGCCGGCGCACTAAATGTATACAATAATACGTACCTGAACTTTCTCTTCTGTGTCAACATCGGTGGAAGTGTCATCCGTCTGCTGGCTGTGCTCCGCCGTCCCAGAGTCTCCACAGTTCTCAACATTCCCATATCCCACAGCCCCGCCACCACAACTCGCCGCCGCCGCCGCCCTTCTACCGCCTCTCTCCACCATAAACCCCCCTCCTGCGTCCACCACCCCCGTCTCCGATGACCCAATGCTCTGCATACCCATTTCACCCATTACAACAAAAACCAACAAATTAAACCTATGAAATACGTCAAAATAATATAGGAATCAAAAACCCATTTTTTATTTTCAGAGAGAAGAAAACTTACAGTGTTGATTTCGCCAAAGTGCATGCTATTGGGAGAGACAATGGATGCATTATTGCTTCGTCTCATTTCATTATAAATTGAGCCTATATATATAAAAGATTTCATTTCATCAAAACTTCCACATTTAATTTAATTTCAACTTACATGCATGGGTAAATTAATTTACTTAATATACACAAAATTACAAAAACAGAGAAAGTGACTGAGAGGGAATTGAATACTTCTGCTACAATCGAGAAGAGCATCTTCATGGTGGTGAAATGGAGCAGAGTGGGAAAGTTCTCCGACGTCAAATAAACGCCCGCCGCCGCCGCCACTCCCACCGTCATCACCTCTACCCAAAACACACAAATTAAAGGTTACTGTTTTTCAAATACTCTGAGTTCAAGTACCCAAAAAACA